CAACCTGAACACTGAAACCACCGGCAGTTAAAGTGTAAAATTAATAGCGAAGTTCATAGCAAAGAACGCGAAAGAATTTATAATATAAATGTATAATTACAATATAATATAATAAAATAAATATATAAAATTTATAATATATTATTATATATTTTCCATATGTAGATACATAATAAACTTATCATATAATAAAAGACTTCTATTAAAAAATCATTCAAACACCTCCGACAGTACACAAAGTTACGAGTATACGAAAAATTATGAATTCATCATTTTGACCACTTTGATAACTTCCTAAGCGTTAAGAAGTTGTGCGTCAATGGGCCGAGTATGATCGTTCGCGAACGCTCGAGTATATCTCGGCCCGGTTCATCAAAAGGCGAATAAACGCGTTGGGGAAAAGAGCGGCGCAGCGAGAGGAAAAAAGGCGGTAATATTCGAAAATAGCCGCTGTGGGTGTCCCACGGTCCATCCGGACCTGACAGATTGGCGCGCGGCTCGTTTTGTCAGCGTTTATAACTCCATGCGTGGCGCGCGCATGGAGTTGCAGCTGCGGTTAAATAAACCAAGCGTGCACTGTCGTGTGCGACGCGCGCTTCGAACAAACGAATAAAACAATGGCGAGTCCATTGACGTCATCGTCAAGCAATGAAAAACGACGAGGGGCGTCGATAATGCCGAACGCTCGACTTTTATCCGTCGTTAACACTTTCAGTCGAAACGATCCAGCCACGTTCACGCTGGCGTGAATCTCGCACAGAGTCCGGACCGAGAATGTCGCTCCTTCTTTGTTCGTCTTTTTTTTTTCTTTACGAGGATCTTATTGATCTCTTCGTTCGACGTACGAAATTTTCAGTTCAGACTGAATCTCTATCAAAGCGAATGCGAATGAATCTAAAAGTATGAACTCGTGTTACACGAACAAAAAAAAAAAAGGAAAAAGGAATCAAAGATAATGAATTTCTATTGGGGATCAGCTCGCTGGATTCGGATAAATAGAGAGTTTCATCCGTAGTTCGTCCAGAAGATTCAATCTTCTCTGACGATGGAAACGTGAAACGGTTAATCGCGTTGATAGGATGATATCGGGCCGTGAAATATTAAGAACATAAAACTACGAAACTGTGGACGTTGGCTTTAGTCGTTGTTAAAACGATTGTCCTTCTTTGCAAACGAGTTCAGCTATCGAGACCTGTGACACGATGGCAGAACGTATCGCAGGGGGTCACAAAACTTTGTGTCACTCAGTTCGTCTCGGAAAATAACTAAAAATTTTATGAACAACTTGAAAGTAAGGTAGCGGTGCTTGCCGAGGGTGTGTATTATTAGAACCGTCGCTGAACTGGGGCAAAGTACGTACATAATGAAGGCAAGGATAGGAGAGATATTAATGCGTTCTACTTTATCTGTTTCCTAAATAAATAATAATGCTGTTACCTTAGTCTCAAACTGTAGAACAAAAGTTTCGAGTCTTGCAATTAGTCGATAAATCTTCGTTTGAAAATCTACCGATCTACAAACCTCGGTCAATTTTATTCGCGAGTGTGCTTCCAACTATATTACACCGGCGAAGCCGTAATTTTTCACGAAATTAACGACCCAAACGCAGATTCTAATTTCGTGATATCGAGATAGGGTTAATTCGTTTTAAAGATCGAATTTTTTCGATTCTCTCGTGTCGGGGGCAAAGAAAGAAAAAAAAAAAAAGACCACGTTCATTAGTGCGCCATGAAAGGGGAAAAGCGTACGTGTTTCGCAAAAACTAGGCCAAATGCCGGTAATTCCCCGGCTTGATGGAATTTTCTACGGCCCTGTCTTCGCTGTCTGTGCTATACCTGCACCCGATCTCCCGGCGTAGTGGCTTTATTAATAAAATTATTATTTTCACTCGGCGCGGGCTCTAAAAGCACAGAGGGATGTTTCAACAAATTTTCCAACAGTACTTTTAAGGAACGAGAAGGTTGTAAAAATTTTCAATCGAGAAGCTCCGAGGGGCAATTCGTTTAGGGAATTAGAACGCCGAATATCGACTTCGAGCGACGTGACTGTGTATAATAATTCACGGCGTGCAGCGCCGATCGTAAAGATCGGTTTTCGCAGTTTGCGAGTCGTAAATTCGCGCCTACGTCCGCGTTATGATAAACACAAATCCATAGGTTTTAAGATAGCTTTTAGTGCTCGTTAACAGTAATTTCATTTCACCGTAATGTTGAATAGAAATGAAACGCGACGAGACAGTCGTAGCTGAGTTTGTCAAGGATCTCGATATTGTTGAACATTTTTATTATTAACGTCGTTTGCAATAGGGTCGTATTCGCCAAACGTTTTCACCAAATTTTATTTGCCCATCAATTTCGAGTATGACAAACTATCCAAGTGTACTGGTCGTAATATTGACGCGGAATATTACTTGACAGGCCTTTACGTTGACAACGAAACGATGTTTCTCGCTTATAACTGAAAGAAAATTATAGACAGGTTTCCCACAGATGATATGATTATTAGCTTTAATAAAAATTCAGATGGAGCCAGCAATCATTCGTCAGTAGAAACAGACGCCGCGTGTCAGACACGCTCTGCTTTTATTCATTTTTTTTTCTCCAGATCAATACTCTTACTTACTAAAATATATTAAACTAACGCGTTGAACCGAATTTGCAACAGGCGCACGATTTCTGATTACTGCGGATTAATCATCCGTAAAATTATAATTAGCAGAGATCCAATTAGCGTGTCGGAACGTGGGTTCGGTCGGAGAGATCACAAAAAGTGAAGTAAATTTTCGGCTTAGAGACATTGAGACGCTTGTCAGAGCCAACGATACATCTTGCCAAATTTATTTCCCGTCTGGCCGACAGCATCTTTCAACTCGCAGTTTTTCAAGACCCGGCGTTACACCTGCCTGTCTATTTTCTCTTTGCACGATCGACGCTCAACGAAAACTCGGTTCTTCCCGATCGGCCGGAAAAAATATAAAAAGAAATACATAAATTTCTTCTCCGCGTTTATACATGAGCACGAGCTTCGCTTCTCAGTTAGAGAACCGTTGCTTTTTCTATTCTCGTTTCTCCGCCGAATGAACGAAACATTTGCGCGTCGATCGTTCATGGACTCTTAGACGAAGCTCTAGACAATTTTTTTCAATATACACATTCAATTAATTTAATTTTCCATCTTCTTACGAAGTAGTAGAGATCGATGGCTCCCCTTTCACCTGACAGCTTTGAAAAATTACAAAAAGAAAAAAAAAACAAACAAGTGAAGAAAAAAGATACAAATAAACTTCGAAAAATTACAAACGAACGAAGAAACTGCGTTATATCCTGTTCGACGTTTCTTTAGGATCGGTTCATCGGATCGTGATTGATGCATTCCGTTTCGTAACTCTGTTCGGATACTTTCGATACTCGGTTATGACAGCACGATGATTGGAGGAGGCTCAGACTCTCGACAAGAGTCGGTCACTTTGTCAGAACGCTTCACGGCATCGAATCCAACGATTCTCGTGACAAACGAACAAACTGAAATATCTGCACGCGCGTCGTGCATATATTTCGTTATTCCCCTGGGAATCGTTCCTCGTAATCCTATGATGTCGAACAATGATGCGACAAAACAACTCTACACATCTGGCATGACATATTATATTTAATTTGGCTTCTTCAAATATATATACGCCGCGCGCCGCAACGCGCTACATTTATGCAGTGAAGGCGAGAAGAGAATAAAATTATGACATCTCTCGACAGAAGTCAGTTGTTTCGTTCCTGCCAAATTATTTCGGGCACGCACCACTTTATATTTCTCTTGATAATGTTCCTCGTGCGTCGTCTGCGAGACGAAGTAGTTCTCAGAAAAGGCTCATTGTCAGAATCCACGGCGTATCTATCTTATTTATGTTTGATTTAATCAAAGATATTTCGTGTGAATGGTTTCTGAATGGCACGTCCATTGTGGATTACGAAAACAGATAAATTATACCTCGAGCCATAAATTCCAGATCCATTTCAAGCCGAGGATGCTGAGAAGTTAATGACTCGTTCTTCTAATTTCCACCGTGTTTATGGAAAAACGTGTGCGACGTACATATGTACGTATTAGAGTAAGGTCATTTTTTGATGCTGTACAAAATTTCATTTCATTTAGGAATTAATACAGCCTTAATCTACAATATAATCTCCACTGTTATTGACTATCTTTGTCTCTCTCTGACAAGCTTTCTGTTCCCTTTTTGCAAAATGAGTTTGAAGTGAAATATTCTTCAAACGTAGTGGGAGATTTCTTTTTCCACGAAGAAAACGTTTCATAGATCTGAAAAGATGGCAATCTGACGGTTCGTTAGGAGAATACAGGTGGGTGAGGAAGCACCTAACTTTTTGATTTCTTTCTTGGTACTATGAGGTCTTGCATTGCCATGTTTTTCGGTTAATCGGGCTTGGACATTTTTTGAAACAAAAATACCGCCACATTTAGCCCATCAAGCTGAGCACGATAATATTCAGCTATTCAGTTAGGATTTCATTAGGATTCAGAATCTCACAGAGAATGATTGAACTCCTGTGATCTTCCATTCTTATAAATTTAACAATAAACACACTAAGTATCAATGTATTTAACTAGAATATATATAGTATTTCAATCAATATATTATATATTTTATATTTTATATTATATATTTATAATATTGAAATCAACATTGAATATATATTGTAATAAATTGTAATAAGTTAAATTTGCTAAATTGTCACTAGATGGCAATGTTCATTAAATTTGAAGAAAAAAATGACACTACACACATTATGTTAAGCGTTGTTCGACTAGTTTGTAGATTCGCTAGTATACAAAATAATTGAGCGCGTCAGGTGAAGGGTGCCAAAAAAAGATCCACGTGGAAATTTGGCGAAATCGCGCCAAATTCTTGCGTGTAATTTGCGGAAATATTGCCTCTGTCATCGCGTCGGCTTTCCTACTGTTGCTTATTCTCTGTATTTTCCCACAGGTGGCAAGAATTTCGCGAACAGAGACAATCCGTCTTCGGAGGTCTTCTCAGGGTGTAACCTTCTCGGAAAAAGTTCGAAAAGGCACCGAGGGAATTGAGAGTAAAATTAGAATTGAAAAGAGAAATGGAAGCTACGGAGTGGAATACTATCGAGAAACGGGACAGAAACAGCCCAAGCGAGTGCACGAAGGAAATAACGAAGATGTCCGAGAATTAAGGAGAGACGGAAAGCAAAGAAGCCGAATCCTTTCAAGCAGGTTTCTCATTCATTCCTGAAGCCGTCAAGAGGAAAGAAATCCACCCTTTTCCTCTTTTTTTTTTAAAGCGGAACATTTAGTAAAATTCCCTGCTGCAAAGAGGGAATTTTTTTTTGTGAAACGAAACGAAGAGTTGCCGCTAAACGTACCGACAAAAGTGAATGCAATCGAGCTACGCAGTTTTTAAAACTATTTTAAAAGCAACTGATCGGAACGTCGACGCTTTCAAGAATCTGATGCAAAGGGAGAGAATTTTACGAGAGATGCCGACAGTTTCTCCGTAGGATAGAGAATTCAGTGAAAATGAATATTTGAAAAACCTTTAGCGGCGGGAAAGCTCCCGTTTGCCGAGAGAGAGAGTTTCTCCGAGAGCGTACAATCTAAAACGCGGCAACTGCACAGCATGGTGGAGCACTGATTACACGAGGTGATTAAGTCGAGTGACAAAGGGAAAGTGGACTGCTCCGTTCGTCAAATAAAAATAAAATATTCAGAGTACCCGAAGCGAAATGGCGAGTCGAATGAAAGCGTTGTACAACCAGGTACGGATATTATCACATGTTTTTCCCCTCTTTAACGTCCAACTGCTCTCGCGTTGTGTCCTTTTTGAAAATTTTCACCGTCTCGTCTCAATTTTAATAAAAATTAATTCAGCCCCGCTAAAAGTCTCCTCTCAAAGAAAATGAGAGAAATGAAATTTTCTCACTAACCGGCAATATTTTTCACGCGTTGCGCAGGTGATCTTCGAGAGGCGAATTCTTCTTGGGTGCACCGTTCTCGTCGGTCTGTCGGTGTGCATATGGTCGATTGCCATCGGGACCAGTCACTGGTTTACGATCGAGGCGCCGGATAAGGAAGGTTTGCCCCTTGGGGACCCGACCAAAGGCAGACGATTAATTTACAAGCACATGGGCCTGTGGAGAGGCTGTATCCAAGGGATAGTGCCACAGTCGGAAAATTCCACCGAGTTGGTCCCCTTCTGTAAGTCCGTCTGAGCTTGTTTGCAAAATATCACGCGTCCCCGGTGAATTTTCACCGAAAACATTGGCATCAACATTATTTTCACAAAATACGCAAATTGCAATTCGTTTCGAGTGACGTCAGTCGTTCCAACCACTTGCGCTGGCAACTGATTTGCGGACCATAACGAGTGACCAAACCGTATACAATGATTCGTCGCTTTCTTTTTGAACTCAGCGGTATGGTACTCACTGGACAGATATTGCTGATAAGTAATAAATTTATTATCTGTTTTGCCGATTTAAATATACTCAGAACTGAGAAAATGTTGCAAATTTGAGATAAAAAATTCTCGACGTGCGTGGCACGTCATTCCAGCGCAAGAGGTTAGGGCAAGCTTCGCTCAACGAGAAGCAAGAAAACTCACGTCCACGTGGACTGTTCACGGATCGATTCGCGTTCGCGGAACTCTGGTCAAAAAAAAAAAAAAAAAAAAGTCGCGGCGAAGAAACAAAAAGAATAAATCCACCGTGTCAACTAACTTTGTAGTTGGCTCGAGCAACCAAGACGTCGTCAAGAGGCTTTTCCCGATACAGCCGCACGTGATTTAATGCTCGTGACAGAAACAACGACAAGCATCTTGTTTGAAACGTCCGTCCGAGAAATTCTGCATCATCATCATTGGATTAATCGCAAGTGCTGTGAAATTGCACAGGTGTTGCGAGTTGAACGGGATAAGAAACTCGTGCTGCAGCACGAGCTGCATCGGCCGGTTCGCGCGACAATGGCATTGTTTCAAAAAGGGCGGGTTCGATAATCGATATAGACGACGAGCCGAGCGCGTTCGAAAACCGCGGCTCGCTATTTTCCCGCGCTTAAAATAGAAATAATTGAGTGACATTGTATGGATGTACGCGGTCGTATTGGGCGAACCGATCTTTCGCCCGACGAATTTTGTTTTTAACAGAGATTCCCTCGCGCGTGTGTACAGTTTCGCGTCGTTTACGCAGCGTCGAACACAGCCTTTGATTTACTAGACTTTTACTTGAAACAATTTATCAATTTATCAATTTATCCGCTGAGATTTATCTAGCTAGTTTCACGATGATAAATCAGGCCCAGAGCTGGGTAATATTTATAGAGAGAGTATTTTAAAATACTATTTTAAATAATGAATGTTTCGCAATTTAAATAAAATAGCATTTCGAATAAGACATAAAATTTCGGTAAATAAAATATTTTCTTTTGATAATCTGAAGCTAAAGCATGGAAATAAGTATTTTATTTTGATAATCTGAAACGTAAAATGAAATATTTTTCATTTCAATAACATAAAGCATGGAATAGAATAGTTTCCATAGTTTTTAACCTGAAAATAAATCGTGAAAACGATTAACGTAACGTAAAAACGAGATAACGTAAGAAATCACAGTATTTGCAAACAAAATTTAGTTTCTTTTTAAATACAGCTTCATCGTTTAAACTACTCCTTCGTGGAAACGAAGAAAGAATTAAGCCAGCGAAACTAAGCAGTCTTTCAACCGAAGCAGAAGATGGAATTGGCGTATTATATTTTAAAAAATTGTTTCATGTATTTATATTTCGTAATACTTTGCATTTGCAAATCCTTATTGCCTAAATATTGCAGTAGTTCTAACTTTGCAATGTTGCCACTATTGTCCCCAATATCATCACTGTGTGCTTCCACAAAGGAAAAGAAATGGCACAAACATTTCCAGCGTTTTTCAAATAAAATACCACTTGAAATATTACCATAGAAATTTTTTACAACAAAGAAAATACTTTATTTTTAAAAGTACATTCTTTCGAACAGACGAAATATTTTATTTTCAAAAATACATGCACGATGTAAAATACAATATCTATTTATTATTTGCCATTTAAAGCAGTATTTTACCCAGCTCTGATTTAGGGCGCGATTGTAAACCCCTCTCGATGTACATACGTAATTCACTCTAACGTAGCGTGATTTCTTTCTTCTTCTTTTCTCTTTTAAATCTTTTTTTTTTTTTTTTTTTTTCTCGAAGTAACAGAGCAGATCGAAAACAATCGGCGATCCGGACAAAGAGAGAAGAGGAGCGATCCAGTAATAAACGCAGTCAATCTAGCTCACGAGCAATTAATCACGACCGTGCCAGAAATGTGCCTGTATATCTCTGCAGTTCGCTTTTCATGCAACGCGTTCTCTGTTCCACACGTGTGCTTCGTCATGCACGCATCAGAGACACCGAATTAGACGACTGTGACATCGTCATAAATCACGCGGCCGATCATTCCTCTCATCAAACCATCGTTTCTAATCTCTTTCGAGGATTTATCCTTGCGCCGCCGTGGACACGACGCTTTTTACACGTATTTTTAGACAACGCGTATTTTTTTTCGTGCCGGAACGATCGGAGATCGGAGATTCGCGTCGAAAGGCGACACACGACGAATCCACGATCGACCGGCTGACAAATTGATCGAAGGATCGAATATCACGCGGCGTATATATATATATATATATATATATATATATATATATAAATATTGATCGCGATCTCATTGTCTCTGCACAGCAGCCCCGTTCAGAGGCTGCGCGTAAAAATAACTCACCGTGACGCGAGACACGAACGAGGCGTTCCAGGCGAAGAGGAGAGATGACCAGGCATGAGAAAATAGTAAAATGGGAAGCTGCGAGGGAAATGAAGACGGATAGGGTGATTACCAGTGAATCGAGTCACGCTTGCGATTTCACAGTTCACACGCTAGCGAATGATCGGCTCGAAGCGAACGCGACACTTTGTTCTCCTCTCACTTTTCGTTTAACCGCTTTCTCGTTTCCTTTCCAGGGGAGTGCAAGAACCAAGACATGTTCCCGACCGAGAAACAGTTCAAATTAAATCCGGGATTGAACACTGTAGTCAGTAAGTGAAGTTAAGTTACTTGTTAGTTGAGAACAGCCTTTCTTTCTTTCTTTCTCTCTTTTTTTTTTTTTTTTTTTTTTAAATTCCTCACCCGAGGATTCACTCGCCCGAAACACGCGGAGAACATTTACGCTTGGGAGATCTCGAGAGCTCGAAGATTCGACTGATCGTTCGATTCACGTATAATTCAGCTACCAGCGAATTTATTTGTTACTTGCAGATTATTCGAGGACGCAGGCGTCGTTCGCGATAATCAGCCTGTTCGTGATGATAATGGGTTTCTCGTTCTCGATCTATACGTTCCGTAATCCACGGTACATGTTCAAGCGACTGGCCGGCGGGATACACTTCATCAGTGGTAATTAATACACGTACAATTTAGCAACTGTCACCCGACCGGATCAATTTGCATTCAATGTCACTAACTTCGTCCGTACTTCTCGTAAATCTAAATTTGCCAATCGGCGTGGCCGATAATCCGCGACCAATTAATTCTCACACGTCATCCAATCGTCGTTCTTACCTCGTTTTGCAGCCGCTTGTAACATGGTGGTGATACAAGTGCTTCTGTCCTCGATCGAGTTCGAAAGTAAACACGTGCACACGACGTTCCCGAAGGGCGCGATCATGAGATACGACTTCTCGCTGATCCTCGCCTGGATCGTGTTCCTCTGCAACCTGCTCGCCGGATGCGCCTTCATGCTGTTCTCCAGGAAACGGAAGAGGGACAAGGCACCGACTGAGGAGATCGCCATGGCCGACGAGCCAACCATAATCGGCCGTTGATTCGTTTCCCCTTTCCCTGAAAATCGACGAGCGATTGAGCGATTGATCGTGACAGGAAGTTTCTTCGTCCCGGTGGAACGAATTCGATCTTACGAGACGCGGACGTAAATCGATGACAATCGAGGCACGAGGCGACAAACGTTACGCTCGTCTCGTGTCCCAAACCCTTTTTCAGAAGTGATGGCTATCGAGAGGAAACGAAATTGGTATCGTTTGTACAGTGATTTTTAATCCCATTTGTTTCGTTTTCTGCGGTTGGTCGACCAACTTTCGCGTGCATTGTTCTATTTAGCTCGTCGACGGCTACCGTGTAAAAGAGTAAGGCAAGTGTACTTCGATGTCCAATTTTCTCTCCCCTGCCCCCTCCCCCAAGTGGTTCGATTGATCGATACTAAGGATGACACGTCGTCGTCGTTGGACATATCGGAAACAGCATAGAAGTAATTTAATTAACGAGAAATGTTATTTTTCTACTACATTGGAACGCGGACGCTGTTAGCCGGGACCATTGAAATAGAGTAGAACCTCCGTTGTACGAGAGACAAGAGAATTTTCACGTATAAGACAAACGATTGGCGCTGAATTTGATTTATTACTCGAGACACGGTAAAGCAAAATTGATTGTTTCTAAATATCTTTGTACATAAATTCGGGAGAAAGATACTGGTGTTTCAGTCGTCCTTTTCTTCGACGAAATTAAAACGATCGAACCTATGGATCGCAAATTTCTTTTGCCAAATTGCATAATTTTTTTTCAACAGGGTTCAAACCATCCAAGCCTCGTTAACGCTTCGAAACATCTTCGTTAACGCTGTCACTGGATAGTTCAGTTCTTGGTTATTGTTTAAAACATTTTGTAAAACAATCTCGTCGGTAATTTCTATCAGATCGGTATTACTCTGTCACGCTAGACTTGTCGCGATCATTGCATTCTGGTATTTTATGCAACACTGCGATGACTATCCTGTTTCCTGATTCCAGTTCCTTACTTTCTTCCACTTTGCGCAGCAAGAGTTTACCGCGATGTAAGTTACATCGTGAAACTTTACACCAATTTCAAACTGAATCATTTGTGAATTGATTTCATCTACACATTTGTAGGCCAACACTTTTTTTACAATGTGTATGTGTATCGTAGTACAACGGAGGTCCTACCTCACATTAAACGTCTGTCAAAATGATGGCGCTAAATTTAACGTAAATGAAAATTCTAAAAAAACAAAATTGTTCGCGATGCATTAGCCGATGCTAGAGCTTTTTACTCCTCGCGAGGGAAAGCTTTCCACGTGCGCAATTACACAAGCTGTACACGATTAACTGGCAACCGAATACAAAAATAAGCTGTTGTACGCGATAGCCAGAGATTTTGATATAACCATCGAACCATTTATTTTTCTACACGAAATTGTGTATATTTTTCTATCTCCTTCGGATAATATACTGAATTTCAAGAGAAAGTTGCACCTCGAATCTCCTCGAGGCGTAATTTCGCGTGATACGTTATCACGATATCAAAAAAAAAAAAAAAAAAGAAAAAGAAAAAGAAAAAGAAAAATAAAAGACAATATTTCTCTGTAAATAGATGCTCGTGTCCAGACGACATTTCGTAGTCGAGGGAGTTAAACAAGATAGAGATCTGGACGTAGGACTCTCGAAAACAATAATTGATACTCGTGTTCACCGTACGACGTAACAAGCCCAGAAACTGTTCCCGAGGACATACATACACGTACACCGAGAAGTGAGAATCTGCCGTATTAATTAAACCCGGGAGAACAATGTTCAACTGCGAAACTTTGCCAACTATTTCGTGGGGAATCAAGTGGAACGATCTCGAGATATTCGGGAATATCGCGGTCTCGCGGAGTAGCTAACGTCAGTTACGCGGATTAAAGCGAGCTTAGTTAACAATCAATGTGTATGTGCGCGTGCCTTTGAAAGAGTTTTCAACAGAGAAGGAGGAGTGTCGCTAATCCTCGCTTTCGCAGATCCGTAACACCGTCAAGCGAATTTAAAGAGTAATCGACGCGCCTGGCTTATTTTTGAATCGAGCGACGATGTTTCGATTACTTTTTTATACCTCTGAATTGAAATGCGTGAAAAGACTCGAGGACCTCAACAGCAGGAAGTCACGACTTTCAGTTGGGCTCGTTAACTGACGATTCTAGTCATCAAACCAATGGAATACATTTTCACTCGAGACCGAGACACCCTCGATTATTGATCGTGCCAAGTTTCTCTTGATACTCGTTGATCAACGCGGTCCTCCGTCATGTGAAATTCTGAATGATTTCAGAAGATACTTCAGAAGTGTCTGTGTAAATAGTATCAAGTTATTAATCTCCGATCGAATTTCTCAACGAAACCGGTAAAATCGGTAGATCGTTCTCGCATTGTTCTCTTTCTTTCGAGCGTCAACCGATTGCCGATTGGAAGGTTTCAACGACTTTCTAAGATAAGTGAAAGCTGATCGCGATTTCTGTGACGCTGACTCTTTAAACCGTTGTTCTGTTTGAGGTATTAATAAATTCGCGCACATGTCCGAGAACTCGTGTGAAAGAGTTTAAACTCTCGACGAGTCTCGTTACGTCGATTCGTCTGCTCGTGCAAACGTGATCGATGTCATTTGCAAGTATATTCTTATTATTCTACGACTCATCGCACCTCGTGGTTGTTTAAGTTTCGAATTTGTTGTTCTACGTATTAACCATTGTGCGAATCAACGTTTGCTAATCAGAATTTTGCGTTCCCATTGCAACAGTAGCTCGTTCTGTGACTATTGAACAAAAGACTTGAGTGCACGAGCATAATCGTATCGATGACAATGAAAAACCGACATTATTTCGGTAAAAGAAGATCGTACGACGATTTCATTTGGTAGATCATTTTAAAACGTTTTAAAATGAGGTTGCAAGTTTCTTCGTTTCTTTCAAAGATCATATAGATCACATAACTCCTGTTTTCTTGAGAATTGTAAAAATTCAAAAATAATTTTTTTCATAACTAGATCCACGACAATTTTAAAGGTTGAAGAAGTCTCCCCCGTTTCTTTAAAACTTATTGCACGATTTTCTCCCATCATTTTATCGAATGTTGAAGGGGACAAAAGTTGAAGAAATCCTAACATTTTATCATCTGACTTCTAACGTTTAAAGTTCAATAAAATGGTAAAAAAAAATTATACAGCGAGTTTCAAGGGATTCGTTGTAAAGAGAAAATTTCAATCTTCAAGGCCACACTGGAAAAATTTTCGCACACGTTTGAATTTTTTACAGTTTTCTCAGTCATCTTTAAGTAAACTCAAAACTTCCGGATTTAAAATAAGACCTGGTGGATTATCTTTTTTTACAAAATTATATGATAATTTTTCATTGTAATCGATACTTAGTAATCGAGTTATGCTTCGTGTGTCAATATATTACCTCGAGAGATAAAATACGCAATATTTCATTTGAGTTTTGATCATTCACGTTTGAAGAATAGTCCGATTGGCAGACATTGGTCGCAAAATGAACTGTACGAAAGTGTCTGAAAGTTCCTTTGCCTTTTGCTTCTTCAATATAAGCAAGCTGCCCCCTCACGCGCTCTGATAAAAGACATCCTACTTTATATAATACACGTGTAAGTACACGATCACAAAAATAAATACAATTGTTCTTTTCCACGATCGAAATAAAGGGTTATTCACAGGTATATCGATAAAATATTAGTCATTAAAACCGTCACAAAGTGCCTTGATAATTACCTTTTTTCTGCAGCTGAACGTTTGCTCTGCTCGTCGTCGTTGAAACGCACAATCACCGCATGAAAAAGACGATGTAAATACGTGTGCGTTTAATTTTTAAGCTGCATCTGCACTTTAAATCAAACTGCTGTTAAATTACATCTTGTTGCAAATAAAACTTTGTTCAATTTATGGACACTGAAATGCTAGCGCCGCGTAGCGGCGAAACGGTGGAACTAACATCTATCGTTGTCCTTGTTGCACACTAGTGCGCTCCTTGTCTGCGGATGGTGCTGCCATCTGAGCCCTTTCATTTTCGAGAGGAACTAAAAGGGTAAATTGGAAAAATCCGATAGATGGCAGCACCTTGCTTCTCCAATTTAGTTACAAAAACGACCGACAGGTGGCAGGATACGATTGTTGATAGACAAAGAGAGAAACAGCGTGCGACAAAGACAGACTTATATAGTACGACAGACAAGGAGCGCACTAGTATGCGACAAGGACAACGACATATATTAATTCCACCGTTTCGCCGCTACGCGACGCTAGCATTTCAGTGTCCATAAATGGGGCAAAGTTTCATTTGTAAAAAAAAAGCAATTAACAGGATTAATTTTTTAAACTTTCGCGATTGTATTTTCGTTTTCAATTCCTAAAATCCCTCTCTATATAACTTACGATTTATAAAATGTACAAATAAAGATTTGAAATTTTTATTCAATGATCTGTAAATGATATTTAATTTCTCGTAAACTGTATTCGAGAATTAAATGTTTGTAAAACATTATAACATTAGTTCCCACGATATTTTCCATATTCTGAAATAATGAGAAATGTCTCAGGAGAATACTTTGAGGGATACACCGGATCTATATTTATTAAAATCGATTTGTATGAGATGGTTTAATCAAATAAAATCATCGATTGTTTAATTTGAAGAAACTTTATTGTACAAATTGTAAAGTTTAGAGCAAGCTTATCTCCATCGAATACATAAACAATAAACTTCTATTACATGCTAGTGAACATGGATTATTTTATAAACAATGGCAACGTTTCAAGAAACATTTTTTACGTCCTTCGTTTCCAGGACAAATATCGTGTCCTATAAGTTAATCGGTTTCCTTCTCACTTTATTAGACGGTGGCAATTGGCCACTTTTCCTTTATTTTACTTAAACCCTATGAGAAAGTCTTTTAGAGAGTCATATTTAATGATTTGACTCTGAGTATTACAAATGTACAATACAAAATGAATTTTCCTTGGCAATACATTTTATTATCGTATATCGCGTTGCAAATATTTGAATTTATTTACAAGTAGTAATTGCGTGTAAAATCGGGAAAGAAATCTCTTTGCACTTGGCAACAATTATGTTCCAGTCACACAGAATGAACATACCGTTTTATTCGTGTCGTTAAAAATTTGATGTCTCTTTCACTGAAGATAAAAGTTAAAAGATGATGTACATATTTAATTAATTAATTGAATTTATTGGAGGAACATTTTTGTAAATTTAAATTGAGTATTTTATGTGACAATGTTTTTTTTTTTATATAAGTATGTACGTATTTCTATGTGACTGGAAAGCTGTAGGTACATAAAAATTATTCAGAAATAGGAACAAGAAAATATTATACATAATACGTTGTATAAACATGGCTGTTACTAAAGGATAAAGTTATTAGCCAAAGTTTTATGATAATAACGTTCAACATGATGAATAGAAAATTAAAAAAGAAAGTCATAAATAGATAGCATTTCATCACACTTTTAATCAAATCTTTCTTATTTATTCGATTGACTAGCTATTGATCGATCATCTTAATAACTTTCTTCTTTGTTTAATCAATATATGTCTATAATATATATATATAAATATTATATATATATATAAATTCTGGTGGAAAATTGACTACTGTATAAAAAACTTATCAACTATTTAATTGTGTTAAAAATTCTCAGACATTAATGATGTAACAATATTATATGTTCTGTACAGTACATTTCCTTTAGTTAGATGGGTCTTTTTAACAAGTTTGTGATAGGATCAACATATCTCTGTTGTATTTTTTAAATTCATAATTGCAATTCCTTCTTTCTCATTTGGCAAACATTCTTCCTGAATATAGTTGATCGCGTTCATAAATCTCGCGTTCCATTTTCCAATTGATCAATCAACATTTTCATCGGCATTGCAGTTTTTGGTACAGGTTTACAATCGTTTTAGTTTTAACACTACAAAGACCTTATTCTGCAATTTGAGATCATCTGCAAGAATCGTTAGAATCATTCATTCGTCTTAGCTTTAAGTGATCTTAATCGATTCTTTCTGATCCCCACGGCATTAAATGTAAAACGTTGGATGTTCGTGTATTGAAAACACACTAATGCTTACGCACCTAGAGACTTAATCGATTTACAGTTTCAATTGCTTTCAGTTATGGCAGATATATGTTGCAGTCTTTTGGAAAACATCTTCTTCGTTCCTCTCCGTAAAAATTCTACCAAACACAAATACAAACAATCCTAACGACTAGGAAATTATAACAGCGTCAACAATCGCAATACAAAACGACGAAAATTCCTTTTCGACAAATTCAAGAATCTCTCTAACGTAATCTCTCTACGATTACTCGCGCAATAATTATTCGCTAAAAATTCTACACGCTACGTAAACTTTCGTACAGATACAAATTCGACGAATCGTTAAATCAATTACCATTAAGCTCTGTTTCCATATCTTGGAAATTCTTATCCTCTTTCAATGGGACGGTTCGTTTTAAAAATTATATCATATTTGTCTCGTGTACAAAAATGGAAGATCGAGGTTGGCAGTCAATCAGCTGATTGAAATCATTCAAACAAAGATGGCCTCACGTTTATCGTCTTGAAATGTTCTTCGTGTCTCTTTCAATAGACAACGGGCAATATCGAGTAAAAAAATACACGAGAAAACAAACTGAAAGGTCGTACATACGTATTTAATTAATGCTGCTTCACTTTATTGTTATTTACGGATTGTGCGATTCTTCTCTTTTCTTCGCGTTCAGTCAGAGAAGTTACATTCCGCGAGACGAAGGAGAAGTTCGACGAATTATTAAGAACCGAAATTCGATAATCCATCGATCCGTGTTTCCGTTGCTTCCGTGTCTGCTTTTGTATTGCTTTCCAATGGAGTTTGAAACGATGAAAGCTTCCCGATCCCGCGGTTGTACGGCATCTCATTAAAAAGCGAGTCGATTTGTTTAATCGCCAGCTATGTCGTGGTCCTCCTCCTCGGTTTCCGCGTCCTCCTCCTCGTCGCTTTCAACGCTTTGCACCAGCCTCGCGTATCTGCGTGGAAAATCACAAACCGCCCGTTTCATTCTGTGAAACGATCATTTCTATCCCGGGCATATCCGTATACGTGGATTTCGCGTCGAATAGATTTTGCTCGAAACTTTCCGTCCTCTTTTTTACCGTGTAACGAAGTTTCTTCCCTTTTACGTCGAGAATTCTCACACGTCTCGGAGAACAAATTTAAAGGAAGAAACTTAACTTTGTAAAAACGTTGCAATTAGAAACGATTGATCGAAATTGGTCGATTTCGCAAGCGTTCAAAAGTAACTGAGTCTTGCAACTCAAGTATGAAAACAGTACGTGGCGAAATGCCGATTTTAAATCGAGCGTTACACGATTCTCCAATTTGACAAACAATCTCACGAAGAAGCTGATACGGTGGTATAATTAAATTCTCGATAATTGTGACAAACACGGGAGGAAAAGGTGAAAATGGTTCGACGCGGACAAATGTACCTGACGGTATATCAGACGGGAGTCGTTTTTCTCAGCGTGTCGAAGGTCCATTCACCAGCCCTGACCGGCGGCGGAGGAGGCAGAGGTTCGTCAAGATCAAAAGTCACGAACTCGTGTTGAACACTCGGACTGTATTCCTCTTCCTCTTCCTGCAGGACGTCGGCTGTCGTGCTCACCTGCAATTGACTTCATTTTACGAAAGCTCCATATACGATATTCACCCGTGACATTTAATAGCGTAACGTTTAATCTCATTCGCGATTTCTTTCGTAACACCGCGAGAGAGAAATTAACGTTAAAATTAAAGTAATTTCTTTCCATTTCGTGGTAGAATATTATAGCAAGCTGTCTCGGGACACTTTTATTTTTATAAATATATTCAGCACTTATTTTATGATCACGTGCACATATTTTATGATGCAATTTCATACAATATATTAAGATGTTAACAGACGTTTTGTTGCATAAAGTATGTCTTCCATTTAGTTCTGTTTTATTTTAATTTAAAATTAAGTGTGAAATGTATTTTGTATTTAATTTAACTTTATCGTATCGTACGTACTGTAAATAATAATACAACGTATCATTATGTATTAACAAAGATTTTTAGCGTATAAAGTATATTCTATATTTATTCTATTTAATATATTCACGTTGTATTGCATACTTTGTGTGTAATTTGCGTAATAATTTCTGACTTATATTATATTGTACCATTTTCATTATGTAGCACTTGTTCGAAGATTTCTTAAGTGCGGTGGTACGATACTTGTTTTCGAAGGAAAGCGTTCGCTGTTTACCGTTTGCGTGGTGAGGTCCCTTGGGAATTGTCTGGAATAATCGTGATAGTCCAAATTTGGCGGCGGCGGTAAAAACTCGTCGAAGTCGACGTGATCCACCGAATCCCTGCCGAAGAAGTATCTCTTCTGATGCCTCTCGCAAAGGAAACCGCTGTGGCCTATAGTCGCGTGATTTGCATGATGCACGTGGTGATTGTCCAAGTGATACACGCCCTGGAAAAGAAACGTTACGAAAGGAGGACAAATCTCTGTTTCTCGTACGAGAACCATTGTCGCTTATTATCTTTGAATGGAAACGACAATGTTAGACGTTATAAATAAAAATTCCAGAGACAAACCTACGTTGTGCACAGAATAGAAGCAGGTCGAACGCATAAATGATTAAACGATTAAACCCCAATCTGCGCAATTGTCTCGCGTTATCTGGTTTAGAAACGTGCGCGGTCTCTTTGCGCGTAATGCGGAGTTTATCTTCTTATAGTTTATTCAAAAATACAAACACGCTTCTTTCAAAAGAGAATCGCGAGAGTGGAATGTGTACCTGTTTTGTACGAAAAATTTAAAAGGAAAGACGGAACGACATGAACATGTATGTACGTTCAGAGGATGAAGGAACAAGGTTGATGGTCGGCTATATAGCTGATGACCTATTCCACTTACACAGGTTTTACTACACGGAAGTCATTGCACTTGCACATTGACACAGAGGGGATGGATGAATCAAGTTCGACAGTTAACAGAGGCAACACAGATCGCTGCACGTTGCGAATTGTTCTTTTCCCTTCTCTATTGTGCCTTCCTCTCTCCGCTTTTCCGACGCACTGCCCTTCGTTTACCATGCTTCCCCGGGCGTTCATTATTTTATTACTTTCCTCTCGTCGCACGTTCGTTCGCTTCGTTCGATTCGAAAGATTCGGCCATTACGAGGAATGAAAACGAATATTCTCGATTCAACAGGAGGGGTGACTTTAGAGAGCGTTTCCTCCTCTTCGTTTCTTGTGAAATACGTTTACCTTTAATGCATCTGATTCCCAAAGTACGTACGTACGAGCGAGGCAACTCCAGCGGGATTAAAATTGCTTAAAGTGTTCTAATCTTCGAAATGACTGTCGAGAGCTTGCACAGCTCAGTGTCGGTTGAGCTATAGATTTGGAATTAGCCACGTTGAAGTTTACTGGACTTGCTCACACGTATCGCAACAGGTACGTGTCAGGGCGAGTGTCTAATCTTTTCGTTTTAATTGCAACTACATTCGAAAGGATGAAACTTTTTTTCATCGAGAGGCAACGACCAATGCCTCTTTCTCGCCATTTGCCACTGTTTTTTTCAATTGAATTTTCCCCAGCTCGTGTCAGCTTCGTGTCAGTCTCCCAGTCTGTCAAGTGTCTTTGCGCGGGAAATTCCAAAGCTTCCCATTATAAAGAGAGAGCCGATGCTTTTAATCTTCCGCCGCGAGCTCGCGCGATGAAAACTACTCGGGAGGACGCGAGAAGTGAAGAGCGTCACTTGTTTCGCGAGCACGATGGCATCGCGCGAATGAGATCTCAAGTACTCGCAGGCCGAGAGCTAACACTTGCCTCTCTGCCTCGTGTTCCGCTTCGTTTTCATTTCGGTATCTATTTACTAGTTAAATGTAATTTAACTTCTAGCCGGCCGGATCGCAATTCGGTTAGAATAAGTCGCCTAAATTCGTCGTCGCGGGATGGTTTAACGGACATCAGGGTTGGAAGATTTGGTCGTAGAGTCGCGCGAACCCGTTGCAGAAATATAATCGTAGAAGAAACAGAAGAATATTATATATATTATCGTAGAATATATATAATATATATAATAATGATATACATTATAATGTATATATAATATACATAACAATGTTATAATAATAATATCTATTATAATGTATATAATATACATAACAATGTATAATAAAATATATTATAATTAAATAATATAATGTATATAACATCTATTATAATGTATATAATGTATATAATATACATAACAATGTTATAATAATAATATATATTATAATGTATATAATATACATAACAATGCTATAATAATAATATATATTATAATGTATATAATATATGTAATAATATAATATAATAGAATATATATAGAATATGTATATAATCGAATATATATATATATAGAATATATATAGAATCGTAGATCTGCTTGAGAGGAGAAGGGGGAGATAATTAATTCTTTTCTTATTCGTTTCGTTCACACCGATGTTTGACGTTGTTCGCGTGATCGTGTTAATGTACCTGCCGTTATTGCCACTCATAATATTGTTTCAAAGTAATACAACGTTCGCTAAAATTTAAATTAAACTCGTTCCGAAGTAATTCGTGCGAGCTAGCTCCCTTGGCAGAGGGCATTTATTAAATTGCGTGCAGATGGGGGTTTATGCGGAAAACACTTGGCGCGCTGTTATAATAGTTGTCGAACGAGTTAGTTTAACTTGAATATCTCTTTGCTGGGTAACAATCGATCTTTCGATTAGTCGTTGACATTTGAACGCCATCGGCCATTGATCGAAATCGGTTTGGAAGGAATCGTTTGAATTTCCAGTGATAACCTCGCCGATTTTCAAAGGCGAGAGCTTCACGCTCGAATTTCCAGCCAGTTTGTTCGAGAGACTCGGCTCCATCGAGAGTGTACACGCAAACTCAGTCCGGGAAGTTTATATTTGCGCGGGAGTTTTATTTCATCGTCGAAATCACGAGACGGTAGCTGAATATTTCACAGGAACAACTTACACACTTTGGAACTTTCAAGAATTTCAAAGCATAAACGTGTAAACCAAGAGAGGGAAAGAGAGAGAGAGAGAGAGAGAGAGCTTGCGATTGCGATTTGTCAAAATAAAGAGGAGCAAAGTTCGTCGAGGTCAAGTGATAAAAATTTGCCAGAATTTCGGGTATTGTTAAGCGGAAGTGGAAATCCCGGCAGAAAAGCGAAACGCCTGTACTGTTGTCTCTGGATGGAACTTTTATTAGCAAACGTTAATTCAAGTTCGAGTTGTCAAACGCGGCAACAAATTGTAAGAAAAGAAGCTGATACTACCAACCCCGTAATTTTTTCGCCTGGAGTCTCTCCGTACCAGTTCTTTCTGATGCCAGGAGATGTACAAGAAAATGGCGTAAGTGCCGGCGACCTCGGTCGTGATGAAGCCGCTCACGTACAGCAGAAATGAGAATCCGTACCTGTAGGTGAAGGGTGGCCCCTGAAATCGCGAAGATTGCGGCCAAGATATTCATTCACACGGGCAATGACACAGATAGGAAGTAATCTAAGGATACCGAGTGAAGGAAATACGAAACCGAGGATCTCGTCATTTTTTCGTACACGATAGCATGTCGCACGGTTGCGGTATATAATCTCAATAAAAAATTGAAACTCGTCTGCAGATTTTCATATATTCGAGTCTGCTTTTCGTGGCTTTGACGCGAAATTTTATTTTATCTTTTCCCTTTTCAAACAATGAAGGTGCAAGCATTAATCGATTGGTGTTTGATGCCGAATAAAAAAAAAAATATCAAAAGGATATCGATTGATCCGAGTGCTTGGATGCTACATTCGACTGACCTGAAACGATGACCTTGGTCTAAGTTTGCTACCAACTTCAGCTTTGAATACAGATATGTACATCACCATTCCCACCAGCATTAACAAACCTGAAAGGGAAACCGATTTAATAACTCGAGCGTTATCTCTCTGCAGCAGTTCTCGCGACAATTTCACGGGCTCTGAACAACTGAGGTAACGCGATTATTTAAACTTTAATCTATCCTCGTGCGTGGCCCACTTACGAAGATGGACATTGCACGAAAATCTAATCTGCTGTCTCTTACATAAATTCATTCTCTTCCTCGGACAATATACATAGAGAGCGCTCGCAAAAGAAACAGGTCCAAGTCCAAAAAATCATATATCAACCGAAGCATGTGCATAGTATTTGAGAAGCAATGGGACGAGATTTTTTTATCCCGTTTTGTTGTAAAAAGATTATCTCTCGATACGAATCCTTTACACTCTTTGATTTTTGAAAAAAAAAAAAAAGAAACAGTTTCCAAAATTTCCATTTTGGCAGAGGCAGAGCCTCCTCTGTGTTGTCTTTTTTTTCCTTCTGTTCTCTCTCTGTGTTCGGAAAACCCTTTCCTTCGGAAGTGAGCGCGCGCAAAGTATCCGACGCGATATAAGCTTGGCGCAGTTTATTACTCACCGGAAACTATGAAGACCACGCCGGCGACAAAGACGCAGAGCCTGTGTCTCGGATGAGTAACGTGAGCCGTGAAGTAACAAACTTCGGCCACCACCAGCAGCGATGTTGCAGCGAAGAAGAACATTGCCGACTTGGTAACTGCATCTACGTAAAAAAAATATGAGCACCGGAGGCCCGACGAATGAGAAAAGTTCACTGCCGAAATTTTTCTTCCACCGTTCTCCAACTATTTGTTTATTACGCGAAAATACAACGACACCGATGAGAGAGAGAGAGAGAAAGATTTTTTAACAGTTATATGTTTCCCGTTCTGTAGCAAACAATTCCGGAAATAAAACGCAGGGAAATTGCTATATTTTACGATACTCGAGTACGAATTTCAAAATTACGATAGTGTATTTAGCGTATGTACATGTATGTTTATATTTACCAGCATCGTTTTCGAAAAATTTCGCGTTAAAAACAACGCAATATTAATTATATTTATACAAAAATTATACTTATATAAAAATTACACTTATATCAATTATACTTATAAAAAAAAAAGATCGGAAATTCTCCATTCGAAAGTGGCAACAATTTTTTAGTGTTTCGCAGCAATCGGCAACAACAGCCCTTATATCTCGAATATAATGAAAAGTCGCGCGAAGAGAGGCGAGGAGGAGCGTGTTTTTCAAAAGAAAGCGAAATTTTCTGAAATTTCGTACCGCGGTTGGCAAAAGGAGGGAAGATGACTGAGAGGAGTGAGGGAAAATCGGGATAGACAAATTGTCGGGTCCAATTTATCACGGACGGTACCATTCTGCCAGTTGAAAGCATTTTCCCGCCGAATATTTTACGAAGCGTGTGTCACACTCGAGTTCGGTGCTAGACAGAGGACACCTAATCAACCCCCTTCAAAGGCACGCATCCCTCCGCGTACTCGATCTCGGTGTCCTCTCTCTCTCACCTCCCGCCGATATCCACGGACGTTTCTCGCGGCGATATACTCACATGGTATTGCCATGGTTGAATCGCTGGGATCCGGACTGTACTCCTCGTTCGGGAAATAGTCGATGCTCGAGCACTCGTACTCCATGCGGGAGCCTGGAAAACAAAAGGAAGCGATCTCTGTATTTTGACCTGGCTTCGTCCTCGTTCGCCGACGCGCGCACGCGTTGCAGGTTGATCACGCCGGGAAAATTGCTCGATACCAATGTCGATTCGTTTCCTGTTTTTCAGTCACGCTTTTCAGCTGAAACGTTCCAATGGCGATGCGCAACGACTGTCCCGTTTCTCCGGTTTTTAGCCGCCGCGGCTCTCGCGTTTTACGTTTCATTGTCGCCGGGACACAGGTGGTCGTTAGTAATGTTGCATTGCATTGTAGCTTTTCGCTTCTTTTCTCTCTCTCTCTCTCTCTCTTTTTCCATTGTTGCCGGACGCATTGTGTAGAAAACGCGCGAATTAGACGTCCCCCCGCTGGAAATTCGAAACAATTACGCGTCGTTGTTTTCAATTCCTGACGAATTCCCTGCTTCGTAATCCATCGGATCTCGCGCATTGGATTCGCATTTCTCAAGCGTTTGTTCTTTTTTTTTTTTTTTTTTTTTGAACAACCTCCGTCTTGCTTCGGGATTTCATTTTGTTTTCGATAACGAGAGTGATACAATGGAACAACACCTTGGTCGCGTGTACAAATCTAGTGGAACGCGATTTTTCTGAATGGAGGTTCATTAAAACTTTCGCTAAATGAGGTATTATTTCCATCGTAATTAAAGCAACTAGACTCAATGCCCGTAAATCGACGTGGATTGTGGCATTCGTTACTCAAATATTTATTTATTTCGTCGTTAGTCAGACTTAAAGGCGATGGTTTCGTTTCTCAGTGACAGGGAGCTCGATGCTTCAACCCGATGCAAAGTCAGTTCGATAGTAATTAAAAGAAAAAACCAGAAAACGTAATTGTCCCTTAACTATCTCTAACTCTGCTGTACGTGAAAATGGGAACGTTCGAAGAAAGTCGCGAGGGAAAAAAGGTTGGACGAGTTCAAAGTCAAAGGAGGAAGCAGCGCGTGAATGTAATTTAAAAACCATCTGATATTTCTTTCTTTCTTTCGTCGCCGCATTGTCTTTTACGTTTACTTCACAGGTTTTCATTTAATTGAAAGCATGTTGCAAAGAGCGGTAACCCGTGACCTGCAAAGCTTCGAACGTCTTCGATGTCCTGCTTTTAGACCATCGTGTTCTGTTTTCACACGATTTCATTTCACACTACTGATGTGGCGGATATCTTCTGTTTTGTTGCTACAGTTTTGCAATAAATTCTCAAATATGTTCGTCACCAGGTATTTTAATTGTCAGTCGAAAAGTGAAAATCGTGGAAAATAGAATTTTTACAGAGTTTAGGAAAGATGAAGTAAGAACATCATTAATTAAAGTTCTGTAAAATGGATATTGCTGTGACTGAAAGATCGTGTCATGTATGATTGGGTAACTGGTACAGAGATTTATCGCACAGTTGAATCCATTGAGAGCAACGAATGTTTTTAATGCATGCTTTTTCTAATACTGAAATAATCGTTCGTAACTCCAACGGTGTTTCTGTTTCTGTTTCTTTTCTCGACGCATGTATTTTCAAGTCGTGAATTAATAATTGCCCTTCTCGAAGAGATCTAATTTACAAGATAAAGTACAACGATTGCGGTTCAGTTCAGTTTCAAATCTTTTACGAACCGATCTATCGATTTCTTTCACGTTAAGAAAGACTTCTGACCTAAACGTTTTCAAACGGAGTAATTAGCAAATTAACAATTAACAGATTGTTACAGTTTTAATTTTTCCTACAGTAGAGTAGCCACCTAAATCTAATCTAAACGTTTTAAAATGAATTAACGAACAAATGAACAATTAACAATTAATAGATTGCTACAGTTTCAATTTTTTCTGTAGGAGTAGCGATCTAAATCTAACCTAAACTCAATCTAAACGTTTTAAAACGAAGTATTAAGCAAATTAACAATTAACAGATTATTACAGTTTTAATTTTTCCTACAGTAGCAACTTAAATCTAATATAAATCTAATCTAAACGTTTTAAAATGAACTAACGAGCAAATTAACTATTAACAATTAATAGATTGCTACAGTTTCAATTTTTTCTGTAGGAGTAGCGATCTAAATCTAACCTAAACTCAATCTAAACGTTTTAA